CTTCCACAATGACGAAAGCTTATAGAATTTCAGCTCACAGAACTTGTGGCCTCTTTGTGGTAGGTGAAGGGAAGAGGAGCCAGAACATCATTTTGATGAGTGATGAAAAAGAGCAAGAAAGAGGGAAGCGAGAAGGACTGGCTTTGTAGTTAATGCTGTCTGTGTGTCCTGAGCAGCCTACTTCCCTCCTCCATCAGGTGCTTACCCGAGTCACTCTCAGGAAAACACGTATCACAGGGTCCCAAATCGTTGTAACTGACTCCTGGTAGGACTCACACCAGGTCAGATCCAATTCGTTCTGTTCTATGGGAATGAAGGACTGCAGAATGTGTACTCCACTGCTACCTGGTGTGTTACTTTCTCACACTTTATAATTCCAAGAGTCAAAGTTCTCAGAGTGTCCAAATGCATCCCCTTGCCTTTACATGGAGTCTGACTCTATTTCCTGTTCACGGCAGGCACTGCAAGGGTACTAGTGTATAAAGCATAATCTCTGTCTCATGAAAATTTGACAGCCAAATGCTCTGATTCCTAAATAAGGATCCCTCATTGCAGTACACAGTAATATATCAAACTAAATTTTATGAGAAATTATGAAGGCTAAGTAATAAAGAAGATCTCTGATAAATACCTGCTTAATAAGGAGAGTCAGGTAAAATCATGTTGTGGTTATTAATATCATACTTGTTTATTGTACATCATGTCTATTATTGGACCTCAACTTTCAACTTAGTTTACAGTTAAAAAATTCCTTCTTAACAGATACAACTGTAGCAGCCAGTTTGAGGTAATGAAAATATTTCTTCTCCTGGCCAAAAGCCCACACAAACACTCCTCTGCTGATGCAGAGCCAAGTCTTCTTTTGAAAGAAAAAAAAACCTAGCCTGAGAAAGATGTTCACGAACCTTGTCCATTTGGTGGTAGGTGGTGAATCTTTAGGACAGAAAGGTTTCTTTCCAGCTGAGTATTGATCCTTTGTGTTAAATGGCTCTCAGCAAACCCCAGCTCCTTCAACACCGCATGGATTTTACTTAAGACTCTTATATGTCTTTTTCTAATGAAAGTTCTCAGGTCAGTTTTGGGTAGAGGCCCATGGAAACCTCCTCCCAGAAGGTGCTATAGAAGGCCACCACTAGTACAACATTGCCTTGTCTTTCCCATCTCAGCTGACTTCTCCTGCTAACGAAGGGAAGAAATCACAGCCTCATTGTCCAGAGGCTGTGTGAAAGAGTTCACTTGCTAGTGAAAGAGTTGTTATAATCACATTAGAATATGGAATGCCTACTGAAATTTGGAGAATTTTTAATATACGAAAGAAAAATAGTTCTAAGTCTACCCCATGTCTGTGAGACCGGAGACTTTGTGAACTGGCCAGGCTCCCTGCATGTACTGAATGCTTTCTTGCCTTAGGAGATTACATGTAAGTGTTTGGGTTGAGACGCCCTCCTGCCGGGCTTCAAATTAGGTAAGACTGGTTAAACAAATAGAAGGTAATGGATTGTGTCCATACATGGTTTCGTTCCACCTTTGACCAACTTTATCAATCACACAGCATTATCTGTGTGTCATATACGTCTTCAGGTAGCAGAGGACACCTTCGTTGTCAAGGTGTTGGGGTATTCCAGAAAAAAACAGCCTCCTCCCTTACCACTGAATATATCCAGCCACTGTGTCTCCTAAAGTGGACAGTTTTCATTTCTCAGCTCCTGTTAAAGACAATCAAATTCCTGAGCTGTCTCAAACTCGCCTACAGGTGGAACACTACCGTTCTCTGAAGTGTCTTCTCTTGGCTGTGACCATGACACTGCCATCTCCCTCTCTTGTGTTCAGTATTCGTTCTTACTATACCAAACTTCTCTGGCTTCCTTGTAAACTTAAACCCAAGAACTCTGTTTAACTGTATGTTAAAGTGGGATTTAAGGGGAGAAGGCTTTAAAAAAAAACAATATTTTACCAAATCATGTTTGTGTCCCTTTTTTTCTAAAACAATGTTCTATTTTTAAAGCTGTTGTCATTGATAGAGATTTGCAACCTACCGTTTTCCTGGAATGCTAACAGAAAGACCCAGAAGTATATTTTTAGAGCCTCTGTTATTTAGGTGTCCTCCACTCTTCCTGCATCCAGCAGTGTGCATTTCCCAGCATCCCACTGCCACCTGCTGCAGCCAGGAGTTTGTGCAGCCTTCCCTGCAAGCATCCTCCACACTTGCCGGGCATCTCCATCTCCTGTCTCCTGGGGCCCAGGCCATCTGATCAGACATGAAACTGTAGCTCTAACAACATCCTTTACAGATCCTGCTTCACAGGACAGAACCAATATGGAGGCAGCTTTTTAAGGCCCAGTGTGTGGGTGGAAACCGGGCCGTGGGTAGACGTCTCAGACCCTATCAAGTAGGGAGAGTGTCCCTGCTCTAGCTTAGATGAACTCTCTCAATGTGACATCAGGGATACCTCAAGAACCCAAAAACTGTGGATTGAAAAAAAGAAAAAAAAAAGAACTTGTTTGTTTTTAAAGACAGAGCAGTAAGCTTCTGAAGAGGGAAACTTGGAAGATTCCCTTGACCTCTCATCCTCTGTAAAATACCATTTTTTTAAAAATGTGATTTACAGTGTTTTAAGGGTTGAATATAAGTCATTTCTGAAGGCACCATATATTTTTTCAAGTACGGTAAATCGTCATCTTAGTAACATTGGTAATGTCACTCTGACTCTAGTGACTCAGAACTGTGCTGAAACGATCAGAGATTTGTCAGCTTTCAGGATAATCCTGAGATGATTTTCTGCCAAAATTATCTTAATCAAAGTGTTGAACTCCTGGACTTGCCTTTGCGTCTAAACTATACTGATGTGCCTATTTCACAGAGTTCCTTAGGGGTTCTGTGGGGTAACATGTGCCCGGCACATGGCAGATCCACAGTAATTGTTAGTTCCTTCCTCTGCTTCCCCTCTTTCTTCTTGTCTGGAATGGTCAACATCTGCCTTTGACACCGGTTCCTAATGGGTAGATAGGTGATGGGTTACAGCACCCTCTTCTGGAATTGTGTTTAAAAGAGCTGAAAGACAAACTTTTGTCACCGTTAGATTTCAAGTATTAGCAAAGGAACTTGCAGGGAGAAGAAGGGAGTGGGGAGCGGTTTTCACTGCTGGAACTTTAACACCCCGCCTACCCAGGAGCAATGACTACTTTTCTGTGGGAAGGGAAGAGACTTTCCTCCTTCAGCCCTCTCTGTAGATTCAGATGTGCTGGGAGGGGTAAGGGTGATACTCAGTGCAAGGAAGGTCAGTTTGTGGCAATGAAATTCTTTTCTAAACAATTTGTTAAAATATACTTACAGTTTAGAACCAGAAAATTAAAAAATTGTTTCTCTCTCTCCATATATATGTATATATACATACAATTTTTCATCAAAAAAGATTGCTTTAATTTTAACACCAGAGTTTAAATCAAAGGCACACCTACTTACATGCATGCAAACGTAACACATTGTAAGTAAAGCACATGCTTTTCTATTTCCATATGTGGTTATATTCTCCCAATAACACTGGACACTGGGTGGATCTTGCTATATAGTAAGTTTCCATGGAGAAACACTGCAGACAGCAACACTGCAGACAGCTCCTATTTGATGGCAAGAAAGAATTGGACCCTGTGCCCCTCTTCTCCCCTGGATTCTGCTCCAACATCAGCCTATGAACAGCACATAGTATGAAAGAGCCTCACAAAATTACACATTTCACATCAGCAACAACTGCACAAAGATTTCCAGTTGTTTGGCAGCTGCCAAGAGTAAGTAAAACTCATTGATGTCAGGCCTCTACAAATGGTTCTCAACCTTCCTAATGCTCTTCCTAAAGGCTACCACCCTTAAATACAGTTCCTCATGCTGTGGTGACCCCCAACCATAAAATTACTTTCGTTGCTACTTCATAAATGTAATTTTGCTACTCTTACAACTTGTATTACAAATATCTGTGTTTTCTGATGGTCTTCAGCAACTCCTGTGAAAGGGTCATTTGATTCTGAAAGGGATTGCTCCCCACAGGTTGAGAACCAGTGAGCTAGCAGGTAGCTTAGATACTGCCATGCTCAGCTCTTTTATTTTCTATAGGAAGACACTGATGCCTAGTGGGGTGATGTGGCTGGGGTGCCTTCCATTATTTTCATCGTTTTTCTATAGTGTCTTTGTTGTGGGTGCTTGTTCTACCTTTTCCTTGAGACTGTTTCCATTCAGAAACAAGCCAGCCTCCTTGCAAACACCAGGAGGTGGTGAGGGTTAGGGGTAAATGCACATAGTCCTCCTCCATGTCCCAGGGACTTACCTTTTCCCATAGAAATTATAATAAACAGAGATAAAGGAATTGTCAGGTGAGATCCTTGTCTTTAGTAAACTTGTTTCTTTAAATTGTTCGAGACAAAATTCCATGTCCAAGAATAATATTTTAGCCTTCTTCCTAGGCATGGGAAGAATCTTTCTGTGATTTAGCAGTCACATTCTTGTTACAGTAAGAGGAGAAGGTGTTTGCTGGTTCTCACTAGCAACTGGCTCAGTGTCACCCAACATTTACCAATTACTGTTTGAATTTCTTATAAAAGTAACACTATTTAGAGTCACTGTCTAAAGAAAGGACCAGGAAATGAAACAATGGCTAGTTACTGTTTTGAGACTGAATTTTAATATACATTTGTGGCATATAAATTGATTGATTACAATTACAAACTTTGGTCGGGGGAGGAGGCTCCGCATTTTACTGGGATGTGAACCTTCAGACTGGTTTTCCTGGTTTCTAAATAAAACTGGTTGCAGTCAAGTTGCATGAAATTTGGCATAACACTGCCACCTTGTGGCTACTTTGATCAATCTCTCAGTATTCCAAGGTCAACACTGTTCCGAAGTAAAAGTAAAGAAGGAAGCTGTGTTCCTGGTTTTCAGTGAGAGCCTTTGACACAAAACCTCGCAGTGAAGAACACTTAGCAGCTAATTCTGTCTGCTTTTGTAACAGAATGATTGGAAGGCCTCCATCGCCTTTGTGGTTGGGAACCGAATTGAGGATGAGCTTCTCATTCATGCCCTTGAACTAGCTGTCCAACTCCCTCAGCGGAAACTCTTCAGTATCGTGTCATGGAAAGAACTTCTCCATCAGGTACCTGTCCCTTTCTGCCTCAGAACATCAAAAGTCATCCTTCCTTAAATTTGTAGATCGAAATGTTAGAACACACAACAGTGATCATAATCCCGGACTACTTTGTTATTTGTGATGGATTACTTTTAAGTACACAAACCCTGAGAATTAATGCAAAATGTTTCCTTTGGAAGGACTAACCTTTTCATCAATGCAGTTCATTGAAACTTCATCGCATTGACAAAGATTTCTGTAAACATTCCAGGCACCATGCAAAGGTCTCTGGGGAATTGTTTAGTATAAGGTTAGATTATGATGAAAGAGTAGATAAAATAAAGCACACGACTAATTGAAAAACAATGTCCATAGAGAATCCAAGTTGGCTTAAGTCTGAGGGCAATGAGGGTATGGAGAAGAGCTGTCAGGTGGCGCACACACGTGCAGGTAGGTATCAGCACCCTGACTAGAGGCTATAAATACCACGCCTACTTTCTTGCTAAGTTCCCTAGTTGCTTAATTTAAACCACTAATGTATTAGAAAGTTTCACAGATCCGTGTGTCCCTTTAATCTCTCATTCATTACAAGTTAATTCCCCTTTGTTGCAGATGGATGAAATACAGGCACTTACTGGAGCTGCTACAGCTAAAAAGGGGAAAAAGCCCACAACTGGCAGTTTACCATTACATTTTGAGGTGAGTGACTGTGTCTATCAAAGAGATTTTTTGTAATGTTCAGCCATGCAAACTGGAGTCCAGTATAATACTTAAAAATTTTTTAATTCCATTTTTAAAGTAAGTTTCCACTGTCCATTGATTGTTTGTTCCTTACAGTACAGACGTGTGCACATCCCACAACTCTACCTTTAATCAGTGTAAAATGTGTTATTTCCCTCAGATTAGTGGCACACTCTATTGCCAGCAGCTGCTTGATACAAAAGCCCAGCCCGTGTGCCCGTGTGCCCGTGTGCCCGTGTGCCCGTGTGCCCGTGTGCCCGTGCAAAAGGCTTACAACTCAGGCTCAGTGCAAAAGGATTTCTTCTTATCCTACCTCATTAGTATCTTAGAGCTTTCAAGATATAAAAAAATCACAATATCACTTATACTTTATTAGGTACTATTTAATGGCCATGCAGACCTAAAACATGAGGATGTAAGGGCTTTTCAAAGACAAACTTGTTTGCACTTCATTTTGTTGGTGACTAATAATTTTTTTCCATGCCCTGGGTCTTGAATGATTCCACAGTGACGTCTGTAGGAAGCCTTAGTACCATCTGAGCAAGTTTCATTGTAGTTGTTGGTAGTTGATAGTTCTGCAAATGTCTTGGCATTAATTCTTGCCTCACGGCTCTCAACGTTTTGGCAAACTAACTCTGCTAGCACAGTCAAATTACACACCTCCCATCATTTCTTACAAGGTTCTGAATCTGTGCTCACCAGTTGAAACATTATGTGATACCTGGATTTAAAATAGCGGGGTTTTTTTTCTTCTGAAGTGGTTGTGGAAATCCATGTCCAAGTATCAGGCCTGGGATCAATTAGGCCCCCAAAGAATTCTTTCTTCTTCAAAGATACCCAGTAAAACACAGAGATGATAACAGGGCAGTTTTGACGTTTAATCTGGACAGGCATTTTGACTTGGATGTGGGATAGCACAATGCTACAAATCCAGGGTTTACTTAGAAAGCCATCCCTCTCCAACATGTGCTAGGACTCTTGGTTGCATATTCTTCACTCAGGGGAGGTCCCTCTCACATCTGGCTCCCCCACATTCTTCCACTGGAGCATTTGGGCAAGGAGCCTCCCACACTTGGTTTTCTGAATGGTTCCAGAAGGAAAAAGGAAGGCAGGGTAGAGCACCACAGAGACAGGGCCTTAGAGGCACCAGAAATTCATTACCATCAATCACTGGAACAAGAATGACAAAGAGCATAAAGCAAGCACAGGCTCCTGGTCAGCACTGGCCTAGGACAGGTCACATCTGGAGAGAGCTACATTTGCATTTCTCATCTCACATCTGAAAAGACCTGATCCATGCCTGTGGGGAGCAGCAAGCATAAGTGGCCATGGAAGGAGAGGCTTCTGGAGCCTCTGGACATTTGAGCCAAGCAGACAGCCTGCTCATGAGTCTATTTCTGTGTGCATGGTCTGTAGCAAGTAGGAAACCTCTGCAGACAAGCTCCCTAAAACATCCTTAGGAAACCATGCATTTTCTATCCCAAGGAAACTCGGCCACTAGGAGAAGGGATAGTATAATAAAGTAACTTGGCCATAGGGGAGATCATGAGCCTTGTTTCCTTTTAGATCTCCATTTTGGATTAAGAGCTCAGAAATACCATGAAGACAATAAATATAATTGTGTATTCATTTCTACTTGCAGGATATTCTCCTTGACTTTAAACCAGAGTCTTATCTTTCTTGTTTTAGGTGGAGTTAACCTGTTTGACTGCCTAGTTTGTTAGCTTGTGTTTGATTAGCAGCAACCAGTTAAAGCAAGACCCCACTACAGTGATGTTTACCCATGAGCAGTGGAACAGATCAGAATGATATTACATATCTCCAATGGAGACTTGTAATGTCTGTACTAGCAAAGCCCACATTCCTGAGTGATTCGCTCAAGGTTTCGTTTGAATGGTTTGGCATTGTATACACACAGACTCATTTGACATTGTGTAATTTCCTCTGAAACTTTAGAATTTCATCTAGCCATGATACTGTATACATGAGCATCTTTATTTATACACCATAGTCCTTTGAAGGCCTGCTTAGTTGTCTGCTAATGTATCTCCCCAGGAGGTATCACTGCAAGTCCTCTGTTCATTCACCTTTTTGCTTTGAAAAACATGTCTTCATCTCCAAGGATCCATGCCAGGCATTCATATCGGAATGTGAAGAGAATAGTCTTCATCATGTATAATCTCAGGAGTGCTAGCTCTTATTGTTCTTACTGCTCACTACTGAGGATGGAGATGATCCTCTGTCATGAGCATAGCAGCATCTCCATACCCGGTGCTGCTTAAGAATATGCATGCACATGAAAGTGGATTTACAGATGCTATATACTGATAAGTTTTGCCAGATACTGGCATTGTACAACCATTATCTGGACAGTGCACAAGGGGGCAGAAATATGGGTATTATGAAGACTTGGAGCAGCCTTGGGATTACAGACAAAACAAACAGTAAACATATGAAACTAGGCTGGCGTGCAGTAGGTATTCAGCAGACATTCATTAAAAGAGTAGGTAATACATGCAGAAAACAGTCAGTGGGGTCCTGAAGGGACAAGGAAGTATCTGACCAGAGAACTAAAGGGAAAAGAGATTAGCATTAGCTAGGGTGTGGGGGAGGAGCTAGAGAAGTTCTCAGGAGACAATGGCATCTGCAGAGAAAGAATACAGGGCTCTGACATTTTGATCTGTATAAGAACAAAATAAAACAACAAGAAGAAAAATTAACTCACATCCCAATCTAACAGGAAATATAAATGCTCCCCATTTCATTCTCGGGAAAATTATGTTAGGAAGTCCAACAACTAGAAGATCTAAAGTTAGAAGTTGCCGGACACCTTTAATCCCAGCACTTGGGAGGTAGAGGCAGGGGGATTTCTGAGTTTGAGTCCAGCCTGGTCTAAAGAGTAAGTTCCAGGAAAGCCCAGGCTAAACAGAGAAACCCTGTCTCAAAAAACCAAAAAATAAATAAGTAAATACATACATACATACATACATACATACATACATACATATATACAATAAAGTTAGAAGTTGAAATAGCTTAGATTGTGCCACAGGTAAATACACAGCTTCAGGTTTTCCTGTTTTCTTATGAACCCAAAACTCAACTCTTTCATTAGTCTCAGCGCTGACTAACGTGGGAGGGTAGGTCCTGACATTCAAATGTAGAAAGGGACATTTTAGGGAAAGAGTAGATAAAGCTTTGGTATAGGGCAGTAGGCTGCTATGTTCTAGAGTACTAGCCTGAAAGTCACTTCTTAGATTGTGCTTCAGAGAAACAGTCCATGCAGTGACGTTGTAAGTCTTTATATTGGGGGTAGACCTTGTCAAAATGAAAAATAGATAAATGCTTCAGAGATAAGAACAAATACTGTGTGAAAACATGTAAGAGGTTTGATATTATGAAAATGGCAGCTGTTCTGAGACCAGAAGGAGTGGTATGTCTTGAAGGAAACAAGGGAAAGGACAGGGTGGGAGCAGGAAGAGTTTCCTGGCCTTTACAGTCCTGAGTTTTAAAGCAAAACAAAAACATTCTGGAAGAACTGGAAAGTAGCCAAGCTAATGCCGTTATTTCATGGAGCTTAGGGACACACCAGGAAATTACAGGCCAGTGAGTTTAACTTCACTTGTAGGGAAAGTATTAACAACTGCTGCAGGAGACGGAGTGGGAGGCTGCTCAGTGAGGTACGGCAAGTCTAGATGGCCATGTCCTAGGAACTTGTTGAAATGCTTTGAAGCAAATACAACCAGTACAGCCTTCAAAGGATACAGTGGAACCAGACTCTGTTCATCCTTTCTGTCCCACATCAGCCCTCCAGGGATACCTATAGAATATGGTCCACATACAATCTCCAGGCCCAGGGCTCAAAAACCACTATGAAAATAGTAGAAAATAACCTCTGCGTAGAAACATTTTGAAAGCTGGAACCAATTAATATAGCTTGATATTTATAAATGTAAAATAATGAGACTTGGGATAAAATGTAGGAATATTGAGCTGTAACAAAGAAGTACCACCTTGGGACTATAAAAAACACCCCAGGAGTTATTGCATCGAAATTTGGGCTTTGGATCTGACATTCATCCAAAGAATAAAAGATGTGGAGAAAAAGTGTGCTAAGAAATCATCGACGAGTAGAAGGTTATGAAGAACTTCAACCAAGTGAACTTTATCAAGTTGATAAACAGAGCAGTCCAATGAACTTGGGTCCCTGTATGCTGAAGGATGCCAGTAGAGGAAGTCGGATCCAACTGGGCAGGGAACTGTGGAAAGTCAGGACTCCATTGCTTTAGGAATTTGCTTCTGGAGTGCAAATATGTTTGCCTTTCAGATTTGAGACCTGTAGCTCTATTTGCGAAGAAAAGCACCACTCAGACAAAGGCATCCACAAAACTCCCATTGGTGGCCAGATCTCCTCCACCCCAGCTCACAGGCAACTGACCACACCTACATGGCAAACAGTCATCAGTCCAGAGGAATGAGGTGGACATGATAGCGCCAAGAAACTTGAGGTTCAGCTGCAGGGTGGCTGGCCATGTTGTTTGGAGTATAGTCAAGACAGGAATCCAGTCAATATTTCTAAGAAGTGAATGTCAGTGGAGGATCAGCTACAAGAAAAAGCAAGATTCTGTTGGATACATGTAGCCTCTCTTAACAGTCTATACGCCACTGTTGGCTTAGGTATTTCAAAACCTACTTTAATAAGGATTCTTAAATGCTTCAACCTCTCTTCTAGCCTACCCACCACACACCAAAGGTAGTGGAAAAGAAAGGTTAATAGGAAACAGGGGTGGTAGACCTGTTTAGAAATAGTTCTTTAGGGCTATTCAGCAGTCGAGTTCATGAGGCAATCACCACTCACAAACCAGCAATGGCAATTCCATCCAGAAAAGACAATGAGGCTCCGTCAATTGGCTGGAGTCCACAGAAGCAGCAAGAAGCCACCAATATATCATGAGAAG